AACTAAGGATTAGCCTAAGTGCATAATAAAAATCTATGTATACATTTATTTTCAGTAGTGTAATAACGTTTATTGGTACTTGGGATTGGCAAGACTGAAAAATCTTATTTGTGTATCCATATCTAAAAATAAAAAACAATAGATGTAAGTGTAGTCTAAATTATGCAAACGTAATGGTTTTTAACCAAATGCATTTTTCTAACCAGTAACATACATTTTTAGCTATTATCTTGGTTAGACTCAAAACCATGCATGTGGTGATTCTTGTGAAATAACCACATCTGTGAAAACATTCCAGTGTACAAAAATGTTCCGTTATCTTGAAGGAGAGATGTTTCATTTCAGTATTCAGGTGAAAAATACAGGTCACACTGACCAAGAACAAACTGTACAAATAACAATGTCCCTGCCAACAATTTCCACTAAGTGTCTATGTGCAAGGCCACAGTCTGGTTATGCAAGGCAGATGCAATCTATTTAATAATGTGCACTGATTCTCCACACTTATTTATATTTTGCAAGTGATGACCCATGTGTATTTTCTGTATTCATTGAACTTTTTTTGATCTCCACTCATCGTTTCCATCATTATGAATTGAACATTTGCACATTTATTTCCACAGAAAATGAAAACCGTTTTTCCAGAAGGTATGTTTCAGTTTCTTTGCTCATACTTATGTCGATATTTAACTGATGATACTTGAACTATTATAATATGCTTTTTTTTTTCAGAAAAGATAGACATCATTGGTAAGCTCATCGTCTTTTGTAGAGTTACAGAAGTCAGTTTAAAATACTAAATCTGCTTAAACTTAGTGATCTTCTTACCGTATGTGTCGCACAGGTTATCTGAATTAATAATGTGCTTCTACACCGATGTATAATAATGTTTCTTTTATGTTCTGTTCCCTTAAGAATATTTACCTCACATTGTTTTTGTTCCAAGAAAGAAACATGAACACAAGCCTTTTGTGGGTAAGTTTTTATTTTGCGTTTTGGACAAATCTACAAAAAGAATAAAAACTAACTTAAGACACATCTTCATTTCTTAATATGTGGAATTGTGTGTTGATCAGCAGTTATCTTGGCTCCATTTCCATTACTTTAACTTTAAGTCTTTTACATTCAGTCTGCTTCACATAGGGCTGTAGCGAAGCCTCGACGGCTCGATTCTAAAAATTTGTCGACGTCAGATCTGGAAGTCGACGCACCGCGCCCACTTGTTGCATCCCCAGGAGTTTGTAAATAGAGGAGGAATCTGCCTGTTTTTCCTCTAGTTCGCCCTCTTTTCCGCCTTCACTAACATCTCCGCCAAATACCGAAGACCCGGAACAATGTCCGTCCGCTACTAGATTATTTTCCTGTTTTGCCCGCCTTCGTCTCCCGGCAACGGACAACAACTTCCGGGGTCAGATGCGCTGCTTCGTGTCTACCGCAGACGTAGAAAATCACCGGGAGCGTTTCTCCCTTCATAAAGGAGCTTCTTTCAGACATCAGGAGAGCTGTTTTGGTGGTAGCAGTCTCTCCTCCGTGCTGGTCTGTTTGCTGCTGGGTGTTTTTGTTTTATTTAAACTTGGTAACTTGAACTTAACGTTGGTAAAGCTACTGTTAGCATCTCCGCTAACAGCTTCTTGCGTTGGGATAAGCTGTTACGTTTTGGTTTAGAGTTCATCTTTTTTGTGGTGTAGGTCTCCCTTTTATTACATTTAGAGTGTTGTGGGTTTTCAGTTTAGTTTAAAATATCACCTTGAGTTTGGTTTAACCACCCAGTTTAGAGTTTGGATCCCTACTTATTTGTACTTTGTTTTAATTCCCCACAGGCAGAATTAGTTTTATTATTCCCAACCTGTGGATGGAAAGATTTATGATTTTTGTTGTTGTAAATAAACCTGATCATCATTTTAACTTTTAAATCCCGTTATTGTCCCTTCCTTTTTGCACACGAGCCAAACTCCCCAGGAAGAGTCGTAACACCACTCGCCTCACGCACATAAGTGACCAAAACAAAGCAGCATGGAGACACTCCGTCTCCAACCACCTCTCAGACAGCAGCCTGCACTCCCAAGTTCTACACGTCACCAGAACATAACCAACCGCAACACAGTAAAAGCAGTGTTATACAAAATGGAAGGCCCGTAGTGTTTATTCTCTTAGAGTAAGAATTTATCAATTTTTTTGAGGAATTTATTTGAGATTTTCTGGTTTTTGTTAATTGTGCAATAGAAAAATAATCATTAGATTAATTTTCTAAATAGTCATTAGAATAGTCGACTTTTCGATAAAATAATCGTCAAAATAATCGTTTTAAAAATAATCGTTTACCCCCAGCCCTAGCTTCACATATGGTGTATATTTAGGAAAATAATGTGCAGTAACATAAAAGGGAAAAAAGTTATATTACAGTTGTAAAGACGATTCAATTTAGGTTATTTGAAGGGTGCCAATTCTCAACAAGAGCCATCTCAAGGTATTTCACAAAGTACATTCTAATTGCGTTCAGTTCACTATGCCAGGATGAAAACCACATTCCTCCTCTTGAATCTGAGGTTCAACAATCCGCCGGACCCTCCTCTCTATAAACCCTGAACAGAACTAGGTAGGCTCAGGAGTGTGATTTTTCTGTAGTTGGAACACATCCTGCGATCCCCCTTTTTAAATGGGGGGACCGCCACCCCAGTCTTCCAATCCAGTGGAACTGCTACCAATGTCCACGCGATATTGCAGAGCCATTAGCCAACACAACCCCACAATATCCAGAGCCTTAGGAACTCTGGACGGATTATATTTTCCCCTGGAGCCTTGCCACTGAGCAGCTTTTTTACCACCTCAGTGTTCTCCGCACCAGAGATTGCAGAGCCCAACCCAGCCCAAGTCCCCAGACTCTGCTTCCTCACTGGAAGACGTTCTGGTGGGATTGAGGATGTCTTCCACCCACTAATCCACAACGTCCTGAGTAGAGGATAGCAACTCACCATCTCCAATATGAACAGTATTGGTAGCGCACTGCTTTCCCAACCTGAGGCTCCATATGGTGGAGCAGAATCTCCTCAAAGCTGTATGGAAGTCTTGCTCCATGATCTAACCAAATTCCTCCCACGCTCGGATTTTTGCCTCTGACCACCGGGACTGCATTCCGCTTGACCTGCCGGTACCCTTCAGCTGCCTCTGGAGTCCCACTGGCCATGAAGACCCCACATGACTCTTTCTTCAGCTTGACATTATCCCCAACCGTCGGTGTCAAAGTCCACAAGCGGATTTGGGGATGTCCATCACGACAGGCATCGACGACCCTGCGACCGCAACTCTGGTCGACAGTGGAGTGGAAGCACGGAACATGGCTCGCTCTGAAGTTTTGTCGGAGGAGGGAATTGAAACTTTTTCTGAAAGGAGACTCAGCCAGATGTTCCCAGCAGACCCTCACAATACTTTTGGGCCTGCAGGGTCTTACCGCAATCCTCCCCTGCCATCAAAGCTAGTGGTCAGTTGACAGCTCTGCCCCTCTCTTCACCTGAGTGTCAAAGACATGCGGCCGTAGATCAGATAAGACGACAGAAAAGTCTATCATCGAGCTGCGGCCTTAGGCGTATAAGCACATATGGGCACTTTTATGTCTGAACATGGAGTTCATTATGGACAATCCATGACAAGCACAGAAGTCCAATAACAAAACATTGCACAAATTCAGATCGGGGTTGTTCATCCACACCACACCTCTCCAGGTCTCACTGTCGTCGCCCACATATGAGCGTTAAATTCCTCCAGTAGAATGATGGAGTCACTAGATGGAGCACTCTCCAGCACCTCCTCCAAGGACTCCAAAATGGGTAGGTAGTCCAAAATGTTGTTTGGTGCAAAACAAAGAGAAGTCAGGGCCCGTCCCCTCACATGTAGGTGGAGACAGGCTACCCTCTCGTTCAGCAGGGTAAATTCCAACAAACAGACACCAAGATGGCGGGGCAACTAGAATGCTCACCTCTGCTTGGCGCCTCTCGATGGGGGCATCTCTAGAGTGGTAGAGTGTCCAGCTCCTCTCAAGGAAACTGGTTCCACAACCAGAGCCATGCGTCGAGGTGAGTCCGACCATATCTAGTCTGAACCTCACACACCAACTCGGGCTTCTTCCCCACCAGAGAGTGACATTCCACGTACTGAGAGCCCGCTTCTGTAGACAGTGATCAGACTGCCAAAGTCCCCACTTTCGGCTACCACCCATCACACATTGCAGTCGACCCCTTTGGCCCCTCCCACTAGTGGTGAGCCCATAAGAGGGACCCATGTTTTCTCTTTGGGCTGTGCCCAGCCAGGCTCAGTGGGTGAAAGCCCGGCCACCAGGAGCCTGCCAACGTGCTCCACCTCCAGGCCTTGTTCCAGGGGGTGGCCCCAGTGACCCGCGTCTGGGCGAGGGAACACTGTTTCCATTTGAGGGCTGAACTTTATCGGATTCCTCTCCTAGGATCTGTTTGCCATGAGTGACCCTAACAGACGCATAAAGCCTCAGACAACTTAGCTCCTAAGATCATTGGGACACAAACCCCTCCACCACAGAAAGGTGGCAGCCCAGGGAGGGGCATATTTAAATATCTTTTCTCAATTGTACACCAACACACCACAGAAGGGACACTACTTACTTTGCTCAGTACCTTGTGTAATGGGCTAAATGATCAAAAATTAAGTTTATGGCTATACAATTAATGTGTGGAATGGTGTGTATATAATACAAGTTTATTTTTATGTAAAGCAATTTTGGGACAGCCGTATCTCAGGAGGTAGAGCGGGTTGTCTAGTAATCAGAAGGCTGCAGATTTGATCTCGGCTCTTACCAGAGAATGCTGCTGTTGTGTCCTTGGGCAAGACACTTAACCCGCCTTGCTTGCTGGAAGGGGTCGGAGGGACTGGTGGCGTCAGTGTTCGGCAGCCTCGCCTCCGTCAGAGCGCCCCAGGGCAGCTGTGGCTACATTGTAGCTCATGAATAATTTTCAATGTTTCAAATTCAATATTTTGTCCTTTTAATACCGTGTTCTCAAAGCTCTGTTACTTTGGTTAGACTCGATGCTGTTTAGTCAAAGTACGGTGCAAGCTGTGTGGTTTAGCACAACCTGGTAGAAATATTCTCTGATGGGACACACATCGTCTAAAATGGTTCTAGGATGTCCAGAAATGAGTTGTTTTTAAGCCAGCAGTTTTCCTTTTGGGGTTTCTTATCTAATTATTAACCCTAGAACACAAGTCTTTTTTTTATTTTTTTGTCTAAAGAAACCCAACACATGCAAATGGACAAGGTCTCTGCAGTATTGCGCAAGACAAGACTAAGTACTTATGTTTGCACACAAGTTTTTGGACAAATTTATGTTTAGAGCTTAGCTAGTCTGAAGTCGTCTTTTGAGAAAAGTTGTTTTTAAACATTTTAAAACCTGTTCATGAAACAGTTTTCATTTTCCCTGCTCAAACGTTCACAAATTAAGGTTTTGTGAAGTGTGTAAAATAATCCAACCCATGTATATTTTCCTGTTTAACCATGTAGTATTATTCCCTGAAATGAAACCAGCCTTGTGTTGCTTCCTTCCAGGTCTGTCTCTGCTCACACTGTGTCTTGGCAAGTTGCACACAGCGTTTTACCTTTGCCACGCCTGTGAGGAATACTGCGCACTTAATCAAATAATGAGCCACGTCTATTCCCAAGAGCATTATGTCAACTACTTTGTAAGTGATGAGCGTAATTGGAAAAACAAACATTAAAAGGAAGGATATGTGTTAAAAAAGTTAAAAGATTTTTTGTTTTTCCTCAGAATTACACAAACCCAGATGAACTTTGTTTCTCCTGGGTCCCCGGGACGAACATGAAAAAGATCCTGGCGTTAAAGTTTGAGCAGGAAGTGCATAAAAAGGGACTTCAGTACCTGCAGGTTAGTAAACAGAAGGTGTCTGTAATCCAGCAATGACTCCATAGACCATCATGTTGGGTTTTTCACACAAGTTTTATAGCAGACTATATTGTGACTGAGGAATTTTATTATGTACCGCTCTCTGAGCCTAGAAATCTAGACCCGTCAGTTGCCAATGCAAAATGATTTTGTTCTGCATGTTTGTCTAGCCACGCTCCATTGGAATCTGCAGCCCTGGTTACTCTGGGGACTGGCCAATCATAGTTTTGTGGGCGGGATTTTACTGTGACTCACCAAAAATGAGAAGGTAGCGGCTTTGGCATCAACTTTGGACAATTTAGATTTGGTCTTTTCTTTTGAGTCGAGAACAGACAGTTACTTTTCTTTATTTAGAAAAACGGTGTGTTTTGTCGTCTAACACAATGTATGGCAGACTGCCCCGTTAACTCGCATCCGTAGTGGTGAGGACGTAGAGTTGTTTGTTGACCAATAGCGTGTGGCGGCAGTTTGAAAGACAACTGTTGGTCTCGCCTCACAACTGAGAGCCGTCAGTGGGTCGCGGCCAGACTATATATTTAGAGAAATAGGATGGCTTGCCAGGCTACTTTGACCATTTTTTCAGTGCTCTTGGGCTATTTTGAGCCCCAACAAATTTTCATGATATAGAGGCTCAGACACAATCCCATAATAAAGCCTTCAATGGAAAGAATGGTTTGCCCTGCCCAGTAGGCCAGGATGCGACTATTAAAGGAGCTGCATGCAGACTGGCCTTTTTTCCCCAATTCTACACCCCCCCCCCCCCCCCCCCCCAAAAAAAAAAGCGCTTCACAACACAGTCAGTCAACCACCTAGACTGGCAAGCCAGACCAAATAAATGTATTATTTAGTCTGGCCATGCTCCATTGACGGCTCTCGGTTGTGGGGCGGGTTCTACCGTTGTCTTTCAAATGATCTCCGCATTCCACTGGACAATGAATGTGACATACTCTTGTTTCACTCTGTTGCATCATCCCACCCACCAGGCATATAGAGTGCCCTGATTGGCCCACAAAGCGGATAAAGCTCTGTGATTTGTTCACTAAGCAGATAGAGCACTATGATTGGCCCACCATTATGGACCAATCACAGCTCTTTATGTGTTTGAAACCCCTCTAGAGAGCTGTGATTGGCTAGCCAGAGTCCTGGTAGGAGCTGTGGAGGTTCCAATGGAGCGTGCCTAGACCAAACTTTGCAACGCAAGAATTTGGTCTAGTTCACTAGGCTATCAACCACCTATTCACATGCTGATGAGTTACATTGAAGCAACAGCTGCCCTGGGGCGCATGGGCAGAGATAAGGTCTGCCATACACCAGTGCCACCAGTCACTCCAACCACCAGCAGGAAAGGTGGGTTATGCGTCTTGCCCAAGGACACAACAGCAGCATTCTCTAGTCGGAGCTGGGATTGAACCTGCAACCTTCCCATTACTGGACAACCAGCTAGAAACTGAAACTTTTTTAGCTTTGTACAGGATCTCGGTAACTCAATAGGCAAGCTTTGGATCTATCTAGCACTCAAAGTCTGGATATTCCCAGAACGTCTTGGAACGTTACATACAAGCTCCTGAATTCTTCTATGTTTCTTAATGACCAAACTCCCTTTCCTGGGTGAATGCCTGGACACCCAAGGATGGGAGAAGAACTAACTGAATAAACAGTCATTCATCACTTATCAAGGAATGTGCTGATGTACGAGCTCTGTAGTGAATAAAAGGCGCTCGCAGGGAGCCTGCTCTCTGAGATTTGCCGAACTCCACACTGGGTTGGTTTGTTCTTGGTCTTCGCATTTCTCCCTCTGCAGAGACAAATGAAAGTTTCATCTTTCACCTGTGCTTGTGATTCACTCTAGAGCCCTTTTCAGATAGACATTCTGGAACATTTGCGGACAATTCAATCCGGTTTTTAACCGGAACTGTGTTTTCAGACACACCACTTTTGTACCGGAACTTGTCCTTTCGGCTGCCTTTACACAGCAGGGAAAAGTTCCAGATGTCTGACGGCGGCGGGGGGAGTGGTGGGGGGTAGAATCGGACTTATGTTAAGAAGAAGAAGAAAAAAATATCATTTCTATAGCGCCTCTCAAGATAAAAATCACGAGGCGCTTAAGCATAATTCTGCGCACACGAAGATGCATAAGAGACCTGGATGATGAAGCTCAATGGTTAAAGGAATCACTGAAGCGGTGTGAAGCGCTCCTTCGCGCGTCTAGGCGGTAGCGTAGGAGGCGAGCTGCCGTGGTTCGCCGCATGCTACAGGAGCGGGCTATCTAGGTGCGCACAGCGTCCCCCGGTCCCCTCCTCCTCCCCCTCCCTCTTGTCCGGAACTTTACCTCACCAGTCTGAAGCAGCCACCCTGTCCGTAACAAGTCCGGACCTGTTACTAGGGGCTTTGTCCGGATAAATTCCGGAACACGTTATCCGGATGTTTGTATTCAGACAGAAAGGTCTTACGGACAGAGTCCGGAACATTTCCGTTTTTCATGGCCAGTCTGAAGGGGGCTTAGGGAACCTGTGCTGCTAAAATAACCCAACAACCTTCACTGATCACATCAACACTTTCCAAACCCACCCTAACACCTACTTCTAAGTTGTAGTCTTTTCTAGGGAGTTTTTATTCATTTTTGCTGTCATTTGTCGTTCTGGCAGCATTTTATTATGTCTGAGGCTGAGCTTTGTAGAAACCCTTAACAAAGATAGAGTTTCGGGACCCGTTGTGGCCTGACGATGAGCGTACCTTATCAAAATTCAGATTTAGTGTTCTTAAGTTTAGTCTCACTTGACAGATGACGGGATTCCAGGAGCTTGGCTGGCTCCAAGGTTATGCCCGTGTCAGAGTGAATGGTAGAAAGGTCAAGTATCTGGGCACTGTTGTATAAAATTTCCCTTTTGCATGTGAGAAATGTTTTTTAGTGGGACCTGGTTTATAAACCCGTTCTGGTTTGAGCACCACTTTAGATTTTTGGTTGAGAAATTTTGTGTGAATCTGAGTAAAATCTTGAACTTGCAGTGTTCTGATTACTTTGATTTTTCTACAGTTGCATCAGTTCTTTGCTGTAATAACCGTAAAAACATAATAAACACATTTCTGTTTTTTTCCTATCTTTGCAGGTTTTGCATTTACCCAACGAATTAATCAATAAGTGCTTTTCAAAAACCTACATGGAAGGTAAAATCTTATCAGTTTGAGCTACATTCTATTTTCTATATATATATTTTCTGCATTATTGTGGCTTATCTGGTTTTTCTGTGCAGTGATGCAAACCCTATGTGAAAACGCGGAGCTCGTTTTGCTGTTCAGTGGTAAGTGCACAGTTTTCCTAATGACTGTTGAGGGGAAAAGCCATGGTTTTATCAGTTGCATCTTTGTCATAATCTCCACTGTGCATGAGTAAAAGGGGCATTATGGAGGTTTGACAGCCAAAACATGTATAGAAATAATAAATTTCTTCTTCATACGTTCTCCTGCAATGCCCTGGTCCTGTAGAATGAGCCCTGGCATTTTTACTGTGATTGCCTGTTTTTCTGTAAAATCACAGAAAAAGAGAGATGCTCGGGTCGAGCAGGCTGCTTCATGCGCGTTCACGCTCAGGCATCGCCCGTAGCATTTGCTATCCGTAGCTTTAGCAGCAGAGAGAGAGGCAGTGCCACTTTGTCGCTGTTCCTAACGCCTAGTGACAAAGCTAGCTACATTTCTGAGGACCCTTAGCTACTTTCTTCTAGATATTTCCTGCAATTTAGCAACAAAATAGCCATTTTCGGTCCGAACCGTTCTTTGAACGTTGTTTCAGCTGTCATCAAGGATATAAAAGTTACAGATACAAAAGTTGTCACTGACGCTTTAGCTCACCTAGTAAGACGTCGGACTCTCGTGCAGAAGACCTGGGTTCGATTCTGGATGTGAACAGTTTATTTAGAGTTTATTTTTTACATTAATGGTATATTTTTTTACAGTAAGATGCCCACATTTTTATTTGAGACTTGCCGAACGGCATTGAATTCACAGATAAAAAAGATGTGGGTTCAACTTTCATTTTGGAACAATTTTTCAAGCAAGGGAAGGGAATGATCTGAGCGTGCAGGAGGACTGACCCATCATAAACCTTTGTCTGCTGTGCTGAAGAGAAAGGTACAGAACCAAATTATTTAATTATTAGCTGCGTGTTCTCCTGTCCTCTGTCCTCCGGGCCCCACACACACACACACACACACACACACACACACACACACACACACACACACAGACACACACAAGGGACTGTCTCAGCTGTTATTTTTGTTAAGGAGTGTGCACGTACAGCATGCACGCCTCGTGCACGAGCCTACTATTGAAGCTGCCATTATGCTTTTGGCCTGAGGGGGCAATCGTGAGCATAAAAATTCAAAACTCCGTAAAGTCCCTTTAAGGATGCAGAGCGTCTGCTCGGAGTTGTTCACTGACTACCTGCGAAGGTGAGCACATCATTACTGAGCGATGGTGGAGTTCACGGAACAAAAGTTACTAGATCTTCTGCTGTAGATAGAATTTGTTTAGTGAGCTGTGAATCAACTGTCCGACAGTTATGTAGGTGCGCTGTAAGCTAGGCTGGGGGCCAAACAATGTGCCTGTCTGGAACAATAAAATAAATCTTGTTAAGGGAAGTGTTGCTTATTAACTCATTCACTGTCAATGACGACTAAAGTCGTCATTTGCATTTTTTTTACTGTGTGGGCGTCTGAACGAGCCTTCGCACCAGGAGAACAAACATTTCAGCTCTGAAGCCGATCTCCATCCACATATGTCACACGTCACGTGACCAGGAAGCAGAACATCCATGTGTTAGGAGATCGTTTTGGGTCGCTGCTGTAAAAAAGGTGAGGCGCGAACCGGAAAAGCTTCTGCCGATCACAATTCAACAAGGGATTATGAGAGAACGGATAACGCTCTAAATGCGCGGATTCTTCCTGATGTAAGAGGTGAGTCTCCTCTTTGTTTTGGTTGTTTTGGCGTCGACATCCTCCTAGCGCGCAACGTTCTGTGACTCTTTAAAAAAAACAGTAAAAACTATGAGAAACACTGGCAGCGAATGAGTTAAGTGTCATTCAGTGGGTTACTCAAGAATGCTGCACATAGAGGTATAATTTACCACGCTGCTCCAGTTTATTTTAGATTATATAATTATATATTATATTATATAATTATATATTATATATATATAATTATATATTTATATATTATATTATTATATTTAGATTGTATCTCCACAACAGGACCGTGGAGTCCTGTGTTTAACTGTGTTAAACTAGGTGATGTTCTTTCTTCTTGGGAGGGGCTCCACTGGGGGGTCCCGCAGGGATCGATCCGTGGTCCTCTTTTGTTTGCCATATATTTGCTTCCTCTGGGGTCAATCTTTTGTAAACATGGCCTATCGTTCCATCTCTATGCTGACGATTGCCAGATTTATTCTCCATTGTGTCAGGAGAAAGGTCTCTATCCAGTCCTTTGTGTCGTGTCTTAACGAGGTGAAGTCTTGGCTAATGGCCAACTTTTTGCATCTGAATGAGCGAAAGACAGAGCTCATTTTTTTTCACCCCAACAGCAGGGCTGTGGGTCGTTATGTTGATCTTGGCCCTCTTTCTCCCTACTCAAAACCAGTTGTCACCAGTCTGGGGGTGAAAATTGACGCTGGACGTAAATTTGATGCTCACATCAACTCTGTGATCCGGTCCAGTTTCTTTCATCTGAGACGCCTTGCAAAAATCAAGCCTATGCTGTCGACAGCCCACCTGGAGTGGGTACTCCATGCTTTTGTAATTTCTAGGCTTGATTACTGCAACTCTCTATATGCAGGACTGGGTCAATCATCACTGCGTCGCCTACAGGTTGTGCAGAACAGCGCAGCCAGGTTCCTGACTGGGACCAGGAAACGGGACCACATCAGTCCGGTTCTGGCCTCCCTGCACTGGCTTCCGGTCTGTTATCGTTCACACTTTAAACGCCTCGTCTTTGTTTACAATTTCTTCCAGGGTAGTGCTCCCCCCATCTAGCCATGCTCCTGAACAGACATTCCCCATTGAGCGCTCTGTGCTCCTCTGAACAAGGCCTGCTCGCTGTCCCTCGTTCTAGGTGTCGTACTCGTGGGGACCGGACTTTCTCAGTCCTAGCACCGTCACTCTGGAACCAGTTGCCACCCTCAGTCAGGCTATCCCCATCTCTGCCAGCCTTTAAGAGTCGCCTAAAAACCCACCTCCTCCGCTTGGCGTTCCCTGAATGTGTTTGAGTTTAGCCTTCATTTACGTTGATTTTAATTCCCTGCTTTCATTGGTCTCTTTATCTCTTGTTTTACCCATTTGCTTTCTACTTTAATGTTTTTACCTGTTTCTCTCATGTACCGTGTTCAGCGCCTTGGGCTTCGCTTTGATTTATTCCGGTTTTTAAATCTTTTCTAGCTTCTAAGCCTAAGCGGGTGACGGTCCGAGATTATCTAAACAACAGCAGCAGGAAGCATCCACTCATTGGTCAGTAAACGTAAAGAAATATTACAGCAAGTGAGAAAAATTACTTTTTATAATAACTGGACATTTTCCGTTGGTTGGCGTTTTGCAGGAATGCAGCACGTTATCGAGTGCGTCTGTGTCGGTGCGGGTGAGATGAGGCACTACCTCTGCACGCTCTGCTGCCTCACCATAGCCAACCGTATGATCATCAATCACATCCTGAGCTTTGATCACATTCACTGCTACTTCGTAAGTAGACTCCACGCTGCCGGGATCCACACGAGTGGAAAAAGTGAACAGCTGTACTGATTTGTCGATCATCTCCATGCAGAAAGCATGGCATCCCTCTACGCTGATGTCCAAAGAGTCCTACAGCCAGTACAGATCCGTTGCTCCCTTGATGCTTAACTTTATAGAGCAGATAAAGGAAATGAATGGGACTGAAAGTGCTTCCATGAAGGTGGGTGAAGTTTTAAAAAGCTGTTATGTATTTAATAATACTGGTGATGATAATGCTGTTTGAATGTCTTCATCACAGGAAGTGAGCCTGCAGCCTGATGAGTACAAAACCATGAACTTCACCTGTTACAACGAAGGTTCGACTTTGAGTTTGTTTTCATTCGTTTAGATTGAAAATATGGATTTTACTAAACTTGTTTTTTGTCTTTTAGCTTTGAAAAAACTAGAAACCATCACAAAGAGCAGCTTGACAACGAGCATTACGCCGGGAAAGAAGTTAGGTGAGTGTCACTGATCTTTGTCAAGCCACCGAAAGCAAAATAATCTGCTAATAATCGATTGTTTTTGCTCCAATTTAGAATATCACGATTGGGCCTCACAGCTTCAGGCGTTCTCTAAAGTCCTCAAAGTCAAACTACGCTGCCAGGTGATGAGTTACCATCATTAATCTAATAACTTGCATCAGCTAACAATAAAAATCCAAACATGGTATTAAAAAGACAATTTTTTTTTGTTTCTTTAATAAAAGAACTGCAGCATGGTCTTTGAAACCATAGGTGTTTATATGAAGCATTTCTCACAGCTGCAACACCCGAAGGTAAAATAATATTTCCTCTAGAAGCTTTTATGTTGGCGGATGAATCTGACCGCTTTAATGTTTCTTCTCAGATGCTGGCGAAATATTTTCATCAGGGTAATTTTAACTTTTCTATTCTCAAATTTCAAATCTAATAACAACTTTGTTCATGTAAACACGCTTTCTTTCCTCTACAGCTGAGAGACAGGAATGTGCGGACCAAATCGGTATGATTCTGCTTTATGATGACAAATTGGACATTTTTAATGGGTTTTGTTTTAGTTTCTTCACATCGGTCATTTAGAAAAAGTAATTTTATGTTTTCTAATCACAATAAGATGTAATTTTTTATTTTCTGTATTATTTATTTGGTTAAAATTCCCCAAAAATGCTATTTTTGAACATATTTGATCTCTTCTGCGTTGTTTTAGGGAAATTCAATCTTTACATGTTCACGTACGTCTACAACACTTTGAGGAAGCAACAGCTGCCTCACGGTACACTCTCTCGTGTTCTCAAACCCTTTTTGTTTGATTGCTCAATTTTCACGTTTGATTTTTGTTCTGTTTTAGGAACCGACCTGGTTATTGCATGCGTCTCTTCTCACGTGAACGCTGAGCCCTTTTACGTGTGTTTTGCGTGTCAGGAGTCTTTTCCTCAGCCTTTCATGAAGATGCACTTCGAGTCTCGAAAACATCTCATAAACACTCTGGTGAGATTTTTTTTAAATAAAAGGCTTTTTCCAGCCAAACTATTCGTGTGATGGCAAAACTTGCCTTGAGTAACGCAGCAGCTGAGACATTTCTTCTGGTCTCAGATGTACCAGAACCCGTGGCGGCTGCCTTTCGGCTGGAAGGACAACGAACTGGACGACGATGAGCTGAGGTTGTTGGCGTGGAAGGAGGAGGAGGAAATGGGACGGGATCAGATCATTCTCAAGGTAAAAATGCAAAGAAGCTAGTTTTTGAGTGTACACAAGCTAATGGTCCAACCTCCTTTCATCGTCCGCCTCCTCAACTCAACTTTATTTGTAAATCGCGCCTTACAGGCAAAAAGATGCCACCAAGGCGCTACACTGATCAAGTAAAAAACATAAAACATTAAGTCCAGAAAATGAAAACATTGTATCACAAGATACAGATAAAAAAATACAGTGAGTACACAGATTGCGGTTTTCGTCTTTTCCGTGGAACACTGGACCAGCTCTATACCCTTAGGGGGATCCTGGAGGGTGCGTGGGAATTTGCCCAACCAGTCTACATGTGTTTTGTGGATTTTGAGAAGGCGTTTGACTGTGTCCCTTGGGGGGCCCTGTGGGGGGTACTCCGGGAGTATGAGGTACCAGGCCCTCTGATACGGGCTGTAAGGTCCCTGTATGACCGGTGTCAGAGCTTGGTCCGCATTGCCGGCAGTAAGTCGGGCTCGTTCCCAGTGAGAGTTGGACTCCGCCAAGGCTGCCCTTTGTCACCGATTCTGTTCATTACCTTTATGGACAGGATTTCTAGGCACAGCCAAGGTGTGGAGAGCATGCGTTTTGGTGGCCTGAGGATCAGGGGTCTCATTTATCAAACATTGCGTAGAATCCTTACTAAAACCGTACTTAAGCTCATCAAAAAATTTTTTACTTATGCCAAGTTGGTTTGTGATCTATCAAACATGGAGTACGCAAAGCTGCACGCAATCTCCGCTTCATAAATCGGAAACTATCTACAAATGTTCTCAGCTGCTTTTTAGTCACATCCCGCCCTCACCACGCCCACTTACTGCCATAAATAGTTAATGCAAAGTGCCTTTTGGATCTCATGCATATTATACATAAGCCGGCCTGTTGCAGCGCTCCGCCAATGACAATGGCGACCGTAGATCAAGGCAGTTCAAGGAAGCGCTATTTCACAAGCAGAAGTTGAGGTGGAGAAATGAAAGGACGTGCTTTTGCTAAACAAATAAGAGAAAATCCACGGAGTGGCAAAGCGTTGCTGAAGCTGTCAAGAAGAAGAAGAAAATATCATTTCTATAGCGTCTCTCAAGATAAAAATCACGAGGCACTTAATGCAGAGTTCTGTGGTGGATATAAAAAAAAAAGATCCAAACAGGAGTCGATCTCCAGACTCCTGGGTGAAAGTCACGCACGCTAACCAGTCAGCCAAACAGACATCTCCCTTGTTCAAGTAGCCAGGGCGCATGATCAATCTTGTCACAGTGACAGGACACGCACTGTCACAGATGCATGACATTCTATCTCGGTCTGTCCCTCTGCTGATATTCTGCATTCTGTATTCTGCGCTTCAGGCTGTGTGTGTGCGCGCACGTGTGTGTGTGGCGGTCTTGTTCTGTGTGAAAACGAAGCAGTGCAAGTGATAACGCTGTAGGATTTCATAATTTTATCCTTCTCAGCAGCAGCACTGCAGGTGCTCTCCATGTCCAAAATGTGCGTAAGCAAGGTCCTTAGTCAACTTAAAGTTGCGCACATTTTTCCGCTAAGTTTTCTTTCATAAATGATGAAATAGACCATTTCTGGACATTACAGCACCTAGCCTGGCCTCTTTTTAATTCTGCACAGAGATAGTCTGGTAACTCGGGCAGAGAGGCACTTTAGGGGCGGGACTAGGCAGCTCAAAAATAATCAATCAGAAAAAAGACAGAAATACCAACTGTATCGTGTGACGCTGTAGTTTTTTAGCTGTAGTCAAAAAAAAAGCGTCTGGCAACGGCGCGAACATCTTTTTCTTTAGAAGAAAGGCCTTTAGTGCTTCTACTTGTGGTTTTAAAGACATTCAAGTCATTTAGAACAGAGGAAAGAGCCGCAGCGAACTCCACTTCAGTCGCCATGTTTATGACAAACTCGGCGTTGTGGTGTGTGACGTACGCTGCTCAGCACTGATTGGCTCGGTAAAGCCTGGTTTATGCTTCTCCATCAGCTCCGCGAGGGACAGACACGCACGGATTGACGGAAACGTTTTTCTCTTTCACTTCTCCGTCTCCTGGAGAGTGTTGCAAAGCAATTGCCCGGCAGGACCACAGAGGGCGTAGCGCTGTTCTGTGGTATCCTGTCATGTATCGGTCTAAGATCGTGTGTTTATATTGTGTTTTTTGTGTATATAAGAGACTTTTAACACGGACATATTTGTCTCTCATTCTCCCACCTCTTCATGCGCTCCCCACCTCTAAACCCACGTTTCCTGTCATTTCTGTCCACAATACAACGCTTGCTGCGCGTCTTTTCACTCCTCCAGTCACGGGAGAATTAAACGTTCATATTTTTAGAGTTTTTTTGCGAGATATTCTTCAAGCTTCTCCGTGTCTGCCGCTAGTTATCCTCGGCTCTCTTTGCAATGGCGGCGCTGTAAACAACAGCGGTGTCCTGACCAATCACAAGTTTGCGTAATCCGTTTCATTCGACGGATGTTTAAAAAAGTGGACTCGACTCCGTACGTACTTGCGTGCCCTACGCAAGGACAGATAATGGCGTTGCGTGTCTCTGCACTGACGCAGACGGAGAAGCATAAATCAGATGTTAGAATTGTGGGGTGGGGTTATTTGAATAGGAGAGTTCCCAGACTCTTTCTCTGTGCAGAATTGAACAGAGCAGACTAGTTTGCACCAGGGATGTTAAGGAAACGCCATTTAAATTCTGTGAATGCCTTTTTTAAATGGCAATTTTTACAATAATGTGGATCTGAACTCTTGACTAAAATGTTCTCGAAGTTGTTTTCTACAGTGATTGCTGCTGTTTGACTCGTTCTGTTGTTTGGTTTGCAGGTTCTTGATATTCCCTACGCTTTATTCTGGACTCTGGATTGTTGTGATTACAAACAAGGTTTGAATTTATTTTTATTTTAGTTAAAAAAAATTGCAAAAACTCACAATTTCATAACTTAAATCTCAGTTTTAAACATTTTCTAATAACATTTTCTCGTTCATGTTTGGACTAGTGATGCATAAACTCCAGCTGTACCACACACTGTTGAGACGTGAAGGTCTGTAAAATAAGTCATTAGAATTAATATTATTCTTAATACTAGTAGTATTTTATGTATGTTCTTGTTGTTTATGCCTTTTTCAGTTCCACCGTGCAGAACCTTCAGTAAACTTCAGGGAAATGAGAAGTTTCCTCTGCTTGGTGAGTCCTGCAGGAAGTTTAAAAGCAACCTTTATTATTAAGTATTTCTGTTTGAATATTGCATTATCAATGAGTCAACCCACTGACGACAAATCTTCAATTGTTTTCCAATTTGAGTTCAGCTCCATATTTATTGCTTTTATTCTTCATTAGATTAATAGTCTCCCAACAGAAGTGCAGTGTGACTTAAATTTTACTAGAGATGTGTGTTGGTGAAAGTCTGGTGAGATGATACGTATCACGATACAGGGGAGACGATACGATATATCGCGATACATTCAGCCAGACGATATTAATGATTTTTAAACTGAATTTATTGTAAGAAAATTCAATCAACAGTCCAAACTGATACGTATCGTTTAACATGAGGTATCTGAACCATAATAGAGGGATTTATGTTGGTAAAAACAAAACCCGTTGCACACTGCTGCCAACTAGCGGTCGGTGTTTGAAATGCACAAAAAGATAAGAAAATACACAAATGTTCGCATGTAAATTCTTCCAAAAATTCAATACATGGCTTTCGAATAATATCGTGGGAAAAAATATCGCGATATATTACAATCTTGATATTTTCTCACATCTCTAAATGTTACTGTCCTTGCTTCATTCAGGCAAACCCTTCATGGTGGCTCATGCTCTGAAAATCAAGGGGAACGAACCCAAGGTTGGAGTTCTGTGTTTGCTCTGTGAACGGAGGCTTTCCAGCGACGAAATCCAAGCTCATGTGTTCAGTCGGGAACACGTCACAAGATTCCTGGTCAGCTTTTACAATTTTTTCCCACACCGTAATCATTTACCCCAACAATGATGATGGTAGTAGTAGTAATGCTAATGGTCTTAGTACAGCCAAGGTGGTGCATGTGTGTCTCTAATGCTGGCGTGTAAATATGCTGTCCGATGGAGGATTTGGTTAGAAGTTTTTTGCTGCCAAAGGTTGAAAGACACCTTCGATAGATGAGTTGCTTGCTTTAGTTTAAATTGATCTGTGTCGTCAACGGTTTAGATATAATTTAAAGGTGTGGAACACTGAAAAATTATTTTTACATTATTATTTCTGATTCTAATGGGTCACGCAGAGTGTTTCATGCAGGCTGAACATGAAAACAGTCTCCTACACCTATCTCCTTGTCAGGTTTAAACACCTAAGACACCATATAACAAACACAAGGAAAGAGAGACAAAGTCAGAGTTCTGTTTGAAGCTCGAGGAGAATGGAATAAGGTCCGACCAGCTCAGTCTCCACTGCGCCAGCAGATCCTCCAAAACCATTCTGCCTTCTGATGCGAGCATCCTCTATTTATTAAAAGCTGGGCGTTCCCTAGTTACATGCCTGAGAGCTGAGCTGAAGGATGGGAGGAAAACACAGCTCTCAGTTTCTCAGCAATTGTTGAAACATTTTCATACAAGTTTCTAATCACACAAAGAGCATTCAGTTCTCTAATCATGCAAAGAGCAACAGGCAGTTGCACGAGTCAGCAGACGTGTCCTTGGGTCACGTTCTGTTCAACAAAGCACAACGCGTTTTAGTCTTCTCATGAGACTTTAAACAAAACGGTAACTGTCAACATAAATAATAAAATCTTTAACCATGATAAAAGCATAAAGCATGATAAAAGAAAACACTCATTATTATTTTAACACTCCTGCATTAGCTTCTGATAGAAAACAGACGGTGAAACTCTAGGATTAGAAAATCCTGACAGATCCACATCACACTGTCACTTAATATTCGTGGACTCACCCATCTTGATTTGCAACGGGGAAAGCTGTTGTTGGTCCAGGAAACAGCAGAGAACCTCTCTGCTAGTAGAAGCTAGCGTCTCCAGCACATGGCAGAACTCCTCCAGGCTTGTGTTGTTTGTGGAGATAAAACATCAACGTCGCAGAGAAATCTGAGTCAGTGGTAGCGTCGCGTTGGTGTTGAGCTCGTTTTCCCCAGAGTATGACTGACATTCATTTCTAGAGGCCACTGCAAATTAGGCATGTGTACTGGTGAAATTCTGGCGATACGATACGTATCGCGATACAGGGGAGACGATACAATATATCACGTTATCTTGCGATACATTCTGCCCGACGATATTGGTGATTTTTTTTTTGACTGAAATTATTTTAGGAAAATTGAATTAACAGTCCAAACTGATAACAGGGTGTCCGCGGGGTTTTAAAAAGTATTAAAAAGTGATAAATACAAATAGTCAAATTTAAGGCCATTAAAAGTGTTAAATTTGGTCTCAGAGGTATTATTTTTTCAGACTATCAGGTGTCGTATTCTGAACATCGACATAGAAATATATTCCGAATGAAATGTTTTGAACGATTATACAAACAAAACAAGCCGATTATTTGCTCCTCCCGCTTGCGCTGCCCTGAGTTGCAAATGAAGCGCTCCTCCCACAGCGTTGCCAACTTGGCGACTTTGACGCTATTTCCAACAGCTTCTCAGACCCCCTTCTTGACTTTTTAAATCTAAAAGTACCTAGCGAACACCTCAGAAACATCTCTGGTAACCCTTAGCTACTTTCTGGATAACCGTCGTTGACATTTCCTGCAGGTTAGCTAAACACTACGCCTGCACTCCGGACCGTTCTTCAGGACATTAGGAAAGGGAATAATGTAGTGATGTGTCGGTCGCTAAAGAAACGGCTCTCGGAGCCGGCTCCCTGTTGGATTAACCAGAGTGAGTGACACACACACCGTACCTGCGGTCTCCTGAGCCGCTAAAAACAGCTAAATGTGCGCGTGCGGCGCGCTAAACACGTGCAGTTTGCCCCTGATTGCTGTGAGACCGGTTTGGGGGGTGGGGGGTGCAGCTGTGGTTGAGACAATTATTACATTAACTGATCGACCTGTAAATAGTTTATAAATAAGGTAGAAATAAGTTCCTCACGCTGATAACTAATCTCTCTGAGGACACGGTGCTAGTGCACTCTCCTACAGCACCTTGACACGACTTCAGTAAATGTTATGCAACATTTTGTGAACATCAATTTATTTGCATGTATTTGTTATAAATGCCACCGTATAATTCTTGCTGTCAGTATTTGCAAAATATTGGTATTTGGGTCTGCACTGGTTAGACTTAAATGAGTTAAACCAAGGTCTACAGCCCTTGGGTCATAAACTATGAGCCATAAGTATATTGGTCTTTTTATACTGGGAATCAGGAGTTATTTTAGTGATCATCTTGTTTCCTATTTATTTTTGTCCTGATTGTGCCCTGAGCAATTTTGTGACTAAATAAAAAAAATACATAAATTGAAAAATCGTCTTAAATAATCAATCTCAATTTCAGTCACAATAATCGTGATTATTGTTTTTGCCATAATCGAGCAGCCCTACTTTAGCAAATCCGGTCACATAATGATGACGTCATATTCAGTGGTCGTTCCACATCATTTCAGGCCTCGTGGTCAACTGTCTGAACCGCTGAACAGAAGTGCCTGGCTTATTTTCTAAGTAAAATAAATATGTGAAATACGTTGTCAACATTAGTGAGTCTCTAAGTCTATTCTTTTTGTATGTTATATATGTTAAAATCTGTGTAAATAGGTCGCTGATTAACACTTGCAATTTAGTGTTGTGATGGTTTTAAAAAAATTCTGAAGGTAGTAAAAAAAGGTATTAAAAAGTAGTAAATTTTACTTAAGGATTGCTGTATATACCCTTACTAAACCCTAACCCTGACCCTAATCTCAAACTCCCAATAGCAAAATGCTATTATAGGAGAATGGAGTCTCTACAGAGTCGTCTTGTAATTCCCAGCTGTCTCTGCACAGCCTCTAAAGGTTGGTTTATGCTTGACGCGTCTGCGAGGTCCGCACGGCTCCGCGCGGAAAAGTTGCGTCATTTTGCATCATTTTAACAACCACGCCCCTCCACCGCGTCTCCGCACGGCACAAAATTTCCGCAACGCGCACCTCGGAAAATTTCTAACCACGCGGACGGACGGACGGACGGACGCGGAAAAACATGGCGGACCGGCAAGAACTAGTACGGCAGAGGTTTGTAAATACAGACTTTTGTATGATTCAGCTCTCAGAGATCACCGTGATCAACATGTTGTTAATAATTCTTGGAGAGAAATAGCTCGCACTGTCGGAAAAGACGAGAACGCTGTTAAAAATGCTGAAATGCCATGTTGTAAACAGTAATTTCTACTTCTACTATGGTGTAGTGTTGGATGCATGCCGTAGAGCTCCATGCTGCCCCCTACAGTTTGGGAGAATATTGGCTCACCGCAGAGACAAGCCGCACGAACCATAAACGCTGCGAGTTGTGAAGCGCGTTCCAGCCGCGAGCTGCATCGCCGCGCGGAAAGTGAACGCGTCAAGCATAAACCAAGCTTCAGGTGGAATTTCTTCTTGGGGGCTCCAAATGAATAAGGATGACACATTCTTTTTAAACTGCAGTTATTACAACATTGTATGATGTTGTATGATATTCTTTTGTATACAGATAAATTGTTTAAAGCAGACACTACACACGCTGTTGGAGATAAATCTAAGAATAGCCCCTGTTTACATTCTTTACCAATGAACCACCTCAGTTCTGTGAAAGAAAGATTCAGACCCTGTTTTGCAAATACAGGGTAGCCAACTCAGACCTCGTCTGCAGCAGAACTACAAAGAGGCTGAGCGAGTCACCGTTTATTCATAAAAGAAAGAAGAACAAAT